TAATAAATTTACGATAAAATTAATCACAATAAGTAAACAATAATATTGAATATACAAGATTGAATATAAATAATTAATTAAATTTAATTGGATAATTAATATTTAAATTCGAATAAATAGTAATTTGTGATGTAAATTGATATACATTGTAGTATATAGGTGATTCATCTTAAAGATATTAAATAAAAAATATAAATAATCACTTCAATTTATAGTTAACATTATAAAATATTGAAGGAAGAAAATCTTCTACCATGAAATAGATATGGAACGACAAAACTAATATATTAAAGTAGCTGTTCTATCGTAAAGTATGGGATGAAAGTAGTGCTAGTTAGTACCATAAAATACGGAATTTCGTTGGAAATTTAGTATCAGTAAACACGTAGATACAATTTGTATGGTAAAATAGATTTAATATCAAAATTTAGTAACATTAAAAGTAGATATAGTATCACAAAATTCAGTATCGTATAAAGATATAGTATCAACAGTAACATTTAATATTACACTATCTCCAAATATGAAATATATTTCCCTATAGATAGAAAAAATAAAATAAAAAGAAAGCAATACTATATTTTCATCACAGAATTTTATTTTTTAGTTTTTTTTTTCTAGGAGGAAAGCATATTGGCATGTTATTTTTTTTTACTCCTTAAAAAATTGCACTCGTATCCAAAGGGAAAAAATAGTGAATTTTATCCAGGGATGCCCCGAGGGTTTCTTTTTTTAAAGGTTTGATACTTTTTTAGAGTGGCCTGAAAGGAGAATTTGGCATTTTACTTCTTGTTGGTAATCTCATCCTCTCATCTGACTTTTTCTTATCTTATCTTCAGAGAACAGATGTAAGAAAATGCTGAATATAGGAAATAGCTTCATTTTCTTTCATCATTTCCAAACTTCTCATTTCAATACATCAAATTCGAGTATCCGAACAACTGATTTTTGTATCATAATTGTAGAAATTTAAGCTAATTTAAAAAAAAAAAAAATATTTTATAGTATAAAATCGATAAATCAATTTTGCATTAATCTTCGTTAGTAACTACACATGATATATAACCTCAATAACTTTTTGTTTATAACAGTTTAAAATATTTAAATTAAAGTAAAGAGATATTTAGAACAGAATCTTCTACGGAAAATATATCTTTTTTATGCACCATTTTTAACTGAAATATTTCAGACAAAAGTTGTATTTACTGTGGTGAAACTCGCGAGAGCTTTGTTTAATTTCACCGAAATTTCGTGATGCGATTACTAAATTCTTAAAATAAATGTATAAAATGACACTGGCCACGAAATTCTGACTGTATATTTTTTATATAAAGGCAGCAAATTGCCTTTTTCTCCAGCAAACTTTAAGCATAAATGCGTTTACTAATGTTACTAGTGGAGATAGTGAAAATGCTTCCTGATTCCCAAAATGTAATTTCTGTTGTAGAAGTTAGAAAGATCGATTATCGAAGTAAGTTAAATAAAGAAAGAACATAATTTTGAACTTTATTGCAATTTTTCTTTCCTCCTTTTCTTATTCAGTAGCAAGGCAATAATAATAATAATATTACTCTATATATATATATCTGTGGTAAGTTTAGATTTTTCTCCCTCTCCATCCTCCCTCCCCTGTATGGCCAATAAGCATGTTTTATACATTTCATTGCATCATATATCGTTCCATGTATTACTAAAGAAAAGCTTTTTTCTGTCCAGTCATAAAACTATATTAGGCACAGAAATTTAGCAGAAAATATACAACATTAAATAAAGAACCGGTTAAAGTAGGCATAAGAAAGTTCAATTTGTATCTAAGTTCAACTTACAGAAGATACGAATTTTCTCGTATGCACATGCTATTTTTGAATCTAGTAAAGAAATATTTATATATAGAAAAAAATGTATAGAATCTCCCTTAGAATTTATAAAAGGTTTACAAGTTTCGTTTCACAAATTATTCAACAAGGAACGTACATTCTTTTGCATTATAAATACGTTCGAATTCTTATAAATGATCTGAAAAACTCATCAATAAACGTCAAGGAAATATATATATATGTATGTATATAAATATTTTTTAAAAGAAAAATGTTATTGAGAAAGTATACATTTATTATACTTTCTTCTATTTATAAAAGAAAACAATTTACTTTAATAACATTCTTATTTTGCACGAACATCAGATGTAATGGTTTCTCGGCCCATTAGTCTGACAACTTGATACTCACAACTTTGAAATTTTGTAAACTTCAAAAGATATTGTTTAAAATTTCATACAATATCACCAAAAGTTTAATTTTACAAGCAGTCGAGTAAATTTCCTCCACCCAAAAAACAAGTAAGGAGGGAGTGACACAATGCTTAACGTATTAAAATCTCCACTGCTTTAAAAAAAAAAAAAAAAGTTGACTTTTAACTTCTTAAATTAATTTAATTCTATTATTTAAGATATAATTTTATANATATTATAATTTTAAACCATGGGCCATAATGACTTATTCATGAAAGTATTTAAAACGTTTCCGAAAATTGATGTACACGATAAACTTTCTTCTAAAGTAACTCGATAAATTTATAAGATCAATAAAGGCGGGGGGAAGAAAGGGTTGGAAAATAGAAGAAGAAGAAGAAGAAGAAAGTAAGTAGAGAATCCAGCATCACGAATTATCCTAGATTTCATTCTAGAGAGGATTGGACGATAAAGTAAGATGAATAAATTAACCATAATGCATTTTTCAAACGTCAAAACTAAGTCTTAAAAATTCGTTACGCCTTGAATACAAAAAGTCTATTATGCAGAGATACAATATCCGGACGTATTCAATCAAGTGATAAAATGCAGGCTTTATCATCCCTTTGGAATTTGTTGAATACCAATATAGAGAAACGATAGAGGGTCGCTGTTCGTTAGTCTTTTCACGTCTTCCTACTAGTGGCTAATCATGTCACCAACATCCATACAGGCAATACCTTTGGACTGACCATTTCGGGCAAACAGGAGGTTGATTAAGAGGCCCGCTTTCATTCAATGTGTTTTGGTCATCAGAATTCAAACAGCATTCCAATTGGTGACGTTTCTGGCATTTGATTTGGACAAATGCTTTGGCCTGGAAATTGAAGTCTGCTATTAAAAAGAACTTTTCTTTTTCCTTCTTCTTCTTCGTCTTCTTCTTCTTCTTCTTCTTATTTTTTTTTGTTTTTTATTTCGAAATTTTCATTCTGATTGCGTTGTGCTACGTGTTTACCTTATCGATTTATATAACCTCGGATGATTTATAGTAAACTGTGAAAGGCTCTTTATCCCAGTAATTACTCCATATAACTCTTCAGATTTGATACGGAGACAGTTCAGTTACTATAATTGGATCGATTTTTTTTTCTAAGTCACTCGAGTATAAATACATTTCCTCCCAAAATACATTAAAATAACCTTTTTAAAAACCCTCTTTGTCTCTCGTATAATGATTAGTTTGGTATAAAGTAACAAAAATTTGAATCAAAGACCAGAAATCCAACGTACAAATTCAAATATATTGAAATTTTCTTACGGTAAAACCTGTGTAAACAGGAATCGTACGATTTTCCAGCTTGGCAGGTTTTTATGTTAACACAAAAAAATATATATATATTTACTCCGTTTCGAATATTTTTTTTCGTTATAAAGTTCCGTTTTGGACAGGTTTTACTACGTTAGAAATAATTAAAATGTTTTCAGTGAAATACGTAAATTATTTTCTTTCTTTAAGGGAGGAAGTTATATTCCTTTCTCTTCTATTTTCTAGGAGAAAAATCTCCCATTTTTATTACGAAATAAAGAACCATTTGTCTAGTTTCTAAATACGACATTATCCAAACAGCATCACTTCAATATTTCACTTAAATCCATGCATCAAACTTCATCATATACACCATTCTTTGGAAGATATCATATTCAAAAAAAATCGTTATTTCAGATACAGTTTCTCTATCATCTTCAAATCCAACAAGTCATGAAAATGTTCATTCTGGTTCCTATATCACACACTTTCTTGTCTTTTTATGATGGACCCTTTCCGATTTTCTTATATCTGACAAATATCCGAGTAGAATTTTTATCTCGGTTGTTTATATACACCAGGCGATTTACTCAACTTACATAAAGTTAAATGCTTTATTGTTTTCTTCACTGATACAAGGAATGAAGGAAGGAATAAGAAAGAAATAATAATAATAAATTCCCAATTTTTTTTGAATACGAATTAACGTGATAGATAGATTATTTATACAGTAAAAAAACAAAAAAAAAACAGTATAGGAGGTCTGAAGAATATGAGATCTTGAAGGTCATTCCTATCCATTTTTCATGAAGGTTTCAATGAGTAGTTTCGACAACTTTAGACCTACAACAAATTATAAATTATGTAACATTTCCATCTCATTTATTTTGCTTAAAGGTGATTAATGTTTCCTATGGTAAATAGTTTTCGAATAAGAAAAGGATAAAGGGAAAGGAGTATATGATCAATGGGCAAAAAATAATTTTGCAAGAAGGAATTTTCGTTAGTTTTATCCTCCCCACCCCTTCAAGCTTCAAAAAATAGAAAATTTAGTTAGAAATGATGGTACTACATTCGACTATCATGATAAGAAATGGTACGTATCATGATAAATATATTTAGAAAGAGCCGATATCTTATCTATAGTAATTTGTTACTGCTGCAACACGCGATACAAAGATGTATCGTCTGATATATAATTAAAAATGAGCTTAAATTCAGTTGATGAAATATGTCCTCATTCATTTCTCATAGAAGTAATAAAGTAAAATTTAAAATTAAAAAAATAAAATAAAATAAAACCGAAATTGTCAGTTTAAAATCTATTTAATAAGAGACTCATTCGTTAATAAAACACTTAAAATCTTAAATACGAGGAAAATTTTAACCGCTGGGTACGATATTTAACAAGTGAAGTAATCTGAAAATTGGTAGATTAATAATAATTTAATCGCTCGTTCTCAGGTAATAATTACTTTCAGGCATCTCCAAGATACGTAGTCAACTACCCACAATTGTATCATCATCCACAACTTCAGTTATCTAGATTGGGATTAAAATTTGTGGCTAATAAAAGTTACTTTCCTGATGGACTATTAAAATTCCTTTGCATAGCAAATTACACCATCATAAGTTCAATAACCAGCGACGAATATTATGCTACTAACAGTAGCAAACCATTAGGACCTCATTTAGGTAAGAATCATATGAAAAAAAAAATTTTTTCAAAAATATGAATAAACGTTTATTTTTATTTTTTGATTTTGATTGACAGGAAACTTTTATCGTTGAATATTTTCAGCTTTATCTTCATTCAGGAGTAGTCCTATTATCAGTGGAGCAAGGAGAAGATATGAAGTTGGTGATTTGGTTTTTGTCAATTGCACGGCACCAAAATCACTTAGCCATACTCAACTTAAGTGGTTTATTAATGATAAAGAGGTAAAAAAAAATTATATCTAAAATAATAATAATAATAATATCTTTAGAAGTTAGAATTAACTGTTGCTTTATCCCTAGAGTATTAATTAAGCTAGTGTAGTTTTTTCTGTTATGATAGAGCCACACACTTAGATACAATAAAAAAATAAACTGTTAAAAAGTTTTTTTTATTTCACAATCTCTTGAAAGGAAGGAAATGGAAGACTTTGAAAGATAGAGATAAGGAATTTTTTTCTATATATATATATATAAAACTAAATTCCAGGTTTGGGAATGCTTGCCAGATTCTAAGGATGATAGTGGAGAAAAGGTATCAGTGAACAATACAATAAAATCTAAATAAAAAATAGTAATAAAACTATTTGAAATTGTAAAAGTTACAAGAAGTTTGACTTGTTTTAAGACATGCAAAATCAATTAAGAATAAGAATCGACGTTACGATTCTAAAAATATATATATATAAATTGATATAAAATAATTGAATTTCTAAGCTCGAGTGCGAATAAATTACCTTTGATACCAATGATAATTGAAATATTAATATGCAAAGCAGAGATTAATTATAATTTATATCACGGAAATTAATTTAGTTACCGTTACTTATAATTATTTTTATTGTTCTTAGTTGTTTAGTTGGTATTTTAAAATTGGCATAAAGGGTAAAAAAGAAAAAGAAGAAGAAGAAGAAGAGAGTAAAGAGACATAAATTTGCATTTTTATTTTTATTGGAAAAATACGAAGTGTTGTACGAATGAATAATCTCCCCCCCCTTCTGCTCTTCAAACAGTTACAAAAATCGTACAGGATCATTAAAAGAAATTTATGCGTTAAAATTCACTACTCATCTTATTATTACAGCAGTGACGAGTTTTAAACTTGGCATATCGGGGTGAAAATCTCATAAATCTGTAACATCCTACTTTACTCTCCATTAAAAAAAAATTGCTGCGAGGGGTATATATTTCCATATTACTCTTGTACAGATTTAGAGAAAAAAAAAATAATAATAATAACATTTCCCCCCTCGAGTATAATATCCTACGACAATATTAAACCTTTGAAATGTTCAGAAATCTTCTAAATATTTTGCCGGGAATTTAATCGATTCGTGTGCAATTAATTATAATTGGAATGCAACAAATAATACAACATAAGTTGATTGTAGTGGCTCATAATTAGCATCTTTTAATGATCAATTTTGCTCTTTATAATAATAATTAAAATTTAATTATAATTAAAGAAAATAGTAAGGAAAAAAAAACTTAAAGTGGAGAGATTTAATTACATTAAGAATTGTGTTTTTTTTTTTGTATTGTATTTTTAAAAACAGGCCAGAGAAGAGAATGTGTTTGTTTATCCCGATCATGTGTATCCAGATGGCCAAAGAGCTGATAATGTTGGCTTACGTTTCATCGTCCAACCGCATCATTTCCAACGAGATATAATTAGATTGAAGTGTTCAGCTGTATTAACAAGTATTATTAGTAAGAGAAGCGAAGAAAAAATTATTGGAGGAGGACAACCGAGTTCAGGATTGCGTGTTTCTGAACATGCCAGAACGGGTTGGTATTACTTTTCTATTTTTAGTAAACTCGTAACTTTAATATCTGATTTGTTGTTAAAGAAGTAAAATCTTATGAGAATTTTTAAAAAGACTTTATTCTTTAAAGAATTACAATACTCGCTTGTCTTTCATCTTCTTTATCTTCTTCTTCTTCTTCGTCTTCCTTTTTGCTTCTTTAGTTAAGGAAAAATGCGTTATTTCTTCGAAAATTTTTATCAAATTTTGGAATTTTTGGATATTAATTGTTGTTATCATTTCTTTAAATACACTCTCTTTTAAAATTTATGTCTTCTTTTTTATATATTTTCTATACAATCCGTCTTTGCTAACTTTATCTTTGAGCTATTTTAAGCTTCATTCTTAGCTAAGAAAATATAGAAAAATAAAAATGTTTTAAAGCAAAATATATAAATAATTTCATTATAACTTAATTTAAGTTAATTTATTAACTTAAATTTAATTTATAAAATTTAATACTCGTAAAACCTGTAAACAACGGCCAATGATGGAAACATAAATGTGGCCGTGGTTCGGAGGTTATTTTTTGTATCAAGTTTTAATGAAATCCTAAAAAAAAAAAGGCGACTGATTGTCATTAGAGGTTCGACTGTATCCATATTAATACATTCAGAAATTTATTTATTTATTTATTTATTTTTACATATACAGTAGCCTATTTATACGTGTATCCTGTAGGCTTATATTTATTTAATTTAAATGTAAATTTTCGCTGAAATTAAGAGGGAAAAATTCTAAAATTAAAGCTGTATTTATTGATTAAAATAATACATATTTTTTTTAAAAAAAGAGAGAGTGTTTTTTTAATGTATATTCCGAATAAAAAAATAAAATTCAAAATAGTGTTTTTTAACAGATGTAGATGAAATTTATAAATTTTGTTTAAAATTACAGATAAAAAAAACGAGTGCAAAGAAAGTATTTTCTAAAATAATGTCATTTATTCCAAACGATTTATCAGATTTGTCAATTCTGTCTGTCATTCTTTCATAATGACATCAAATGCTTCTTAAAACCTTTTGAATAACCCATTTTAAACATTCAGCAGCCAAAAATAGAATATATATATATATATAT